GGTAGATCACGGAGCCAATCGTCGGTCACCTCTCGCATGTCCTCGACCAATTGGCGAATCTCGAGTACCACTTGTTCTCGGAAATCGGCGACTGGGTGGAACAAGTGTGAATGCTGTACGACCCATTCCAGTGTCGGGTCAAGGGGCTTCGCTGTGTGAGATGTGTCCAGAGATTGTGTCCACTGTATGTGTTCTCGCCAGGAGAACTGTGGCATAGAGAGGTGGTGGGTGGGTTTCGGTGGTGGTCCGAATGAGGTACTTGTGGCTAGCCCTACACTTGTGGCCCGTTGTATGCGTGAGATGGGAATGGCTGTGGCGGGTGTGTGCGTAATGTCCATGACCATTAGTAGCAATAACCAGATAGCTGATGGGATATGCCATGTGTTGCCTAATGCTTTGTTCCGATGGTACTCTGTCTCGTCTGGTGTCATGTTGGCTGTGTGTTGTCCATCGAAACCCATCATCTGTTCCCTCATCTTGGCTGGTGCTAGGTGTTCGTGTCCGTCTGCGTCGGACACGAGGTACTTTTTTTCGTATTGCCACGGTGCGAACCGACGGTGGTCTGCCTGCCACCTCTGTATCGTGTCCGGTTTCTCGTTGGAATGCTGAGGTGCTGGTCTGCCATTTTCGTCCGGTGCTGGTGTGGTCAGGCAGTGGAACAGGCCACCTTTTTGTAATATCGTGGGTGCTGCGAAGTGCTTCGTGTCGAGTGGTGGTTGTAGGGTTTTCGCGATAGGGTTGTAAAGGCGGGGCCACGGTGTGTCCGTCTGTGTCCATTGGAGATCCCACGGAGTGTTGGCCACCAACTGTAGTCTGACTTTGTCCCACTCCGCTGACAGCCACCATAGTCGTTTGCGATGTATGACGCCCCCATCCTCTGCATCCACGATGATGGGGTTAATGCTGAGTTGCCCCGATAACTCTAGGATGTCCTGTTGAACGTTCGTATGTGGCACAACGTTCTCGATGAGGATGTAAATGGGTATCTGCTGCAGCACTTGCTTAATTTGTTGTACGATGTGCACAAACTTCTGGAAGAGGTGGCCTGTTGCTCCTGCTGTGCCAGACGGGTTTGCTCGAATACCGGAAAAATCTGGGCAAGGTGGTCCGCCTGTGATCAAGACGGTAATCGGAACGTTGGGGTCGAGGTGGTCCAGCAAGGTGTCGATCAGCTTTTCGATGTCAAAGTCGTTGACGTCTCCCATCTGTATTGGTTGGAAATGTTCGTCGAGGACATTGATGCATTCGATGTCTGTTTCCCAGCTGACTGTCAATACTGGGTGGATGTCGAGCGCGCGAAGNNGTGACCCCGTCGCCTTGGCGGAAAGGTCGTTGTCTGATTGTTGTTGTGTTGTCTGGTCGGCTCCAGGGTCTATCCCTGGGCCGTGCTGTCCCTAATGTAGGCCCTTGCCTTTTCCACGGCCTTTGGTGCCCTTGCCGTCCTTACCGGGCTTGCCCTTAGAGGGTTGGCTGTTCTGGAGTGGTGCGGGCGGAAAGGCCTGTGGCTGAGTGTTCCAGGCTGCCTGGTTGTATGTGGGCCACTGCTGCTGCTGCATCATCATTGGTGCGGGGATGGGCGGGTTAGGCGGCTGGGGTGGGAAGGCAGGCGGCTGCCATGTGGTTGCCCATGCTTGTTGTGGCCACTGCCATTGTTTGCCTGTCCCTTTTGTCTTGCCTTTGTTGCCCTTGCCCTTTCCTGGTTGACCTTTGGGTGTCCGCCAACGTTGAGGTTCTTGGTTGTCACGTTGCTTCTTCTTTGGTGATTGCATGAGGGCGTCGTTGACGGTGGTCAGGTCCTGCATGATCTCCTCGGTGATGA